GGGGTTGTGTTATTTTTAACACTTTACATACCAATACAGGTACGTGTACTACTAGCTATAATAAATGAATGAATGAACAACTTTATTTAAAGAGGGTAAAAACACATGACAGCAATATAACTGAAAAACCTGTGGCCCTCATATACAATACATACAAAGTTATTAATTCTACTTTAAAACGTCTAAAAGCTATTTAGAGTAAATATGTAAAAGATCTTAGGATTATAAATTTATATATACAAATTATATACAGTGCAACTTGCTGATCACAATAATAATTCAAAGCGATCGATGCCCTTATAAGATTCTAAGAAGTATTTTTTAAGGGCAAACTTAAAGGAATTAACGCTAGGTTTCGTCTTAATATCCTTCGGGAGATTGTTCCATATTTTAATGCTGCTGACCGTTACAGATTTTCCTCCCTCAGTTGCATAATTATATTTAGGACACACTAAATTATATTCGCCATGACGAGTTTGTCTACCATTAATTTCATTGTTTGTTTTAAATAAGTTCTTAATATACTGCGGAGCTTGATCATGCAGGCTCTTGTAAACTAAAGTGCATTTGTTAATTTTAACTTCGTCATAAAAAGGTATCCAGTTCAGTTTATTGAAATTGGCTATTGACCTGGAGGAAGTGTCAGTTCCTAAAATTACCCGAGCTGCTCTTTTTTGTAATTTAAAAATTCTAAGCAGATCATTTCGCGAGCAGCAACTCCAAATAGAACTACCATACATCATAACTGGCTTGACGACAGCGTTGTAAAATAGCTTTCTCTCAAGTAGTGGTAAGTATCTTCGTATCTTTCTCAGCAGGCCGATCTTTTTACTAAGGTTTTTACTAAGTTTGTTTATATGCTCTTTGAAAGTTAAGTCTTCATCAATGATTACACCAAGTAATTTCTGCGAAGAAACCAGTTCAATATTTGAATCACTTGCTGTAAGAGGTAAGAAAGATAATTGCATTCGGGATTTAAAGCGTTTACCAGTAATAAGAATTGATTTGGTTTTGTCAGCATTTAGTACCATTCTATTTTTGTCTGACCACTGACATAGTTTGTCTATATCCTGTTGAAGGTTAACTTGCAATTCAGTCGACGCGACAGAGAAGTAGGAACTTGAAGAGAAAGTAGTGTCATCTGCGTATACATCAACAGTTGAATTAGGTATGTTTGGAGGTAGATCATTTATGAAAGCAAGAAAGAGAAGAGGGCCAAGAATGCTACCTTGAGGGACACCATGAGTTATACATAATGGACATGATTTGAAGCCGTTAATTTCTACAAACTGTGTCCTGTCTGAGAGGTAATTTTGGAAAATCTTGAGATAGGTATCATCCACTCCATAAGCGCTTAGCTTTTGCAATAAAAGCTGGTGGTCAATCAGGTCAAACGCCTTGCTGTAGTCTACGAAAACAACGCCAGTAACGTGGTTTTTATCAAGGTCAAGAAGGATTTGGTCTAGTAAGCGAATTAGAGCAGTTTCAGTCGAGTGGCGTTTGCGAAAGCCAGATTGCAGGCCGTATAGGAAATTGTTATTGGATAAGTGTGAATTTAGTGCTTCGTAGAGATGTCTTTCGTATAATTTTGAGAGGATCGGAAGAACAGATATTGGTCTGTAATTTTGTTTGTGTTCTACACTTCCTTGATTCTTAAAAATTGGTGTGACTTTGGCTACTTTCCATCTGGATGGGAAGGTGTTGGTGGATATGCAATGGTTTATGAGACGTGCGACTGAGCTTGATATGGATGGAGCAGCAATTTTCAGTAATTTAGGACTCAAACCATCAGCACCTGTTGCTTTATTTGCTGGCATAGAATTTAGCATTTGAAGTACCTTTTCTGGAGAAATATGTGGAATTTCAAACTTTATCTTTATCTTTAGAGAGTTTAGCAGAGATTCGTTACAAAAAGTAGACTTTATAGATAATAAGAGACGTTGTGGTTGACTAACAAAGAAAGAGTTAAAGATTTCGGCAATGCTTCTGCTTTCCGTTACAAGTTCTCCGTTTTCGTTTAATTGACGAATACCGTTGTTTTCTCCCAATGATACTCTTGATAGATCTTTAATCAATGACCATAGTTTATTTGGGTTTTCTCGATGTTCGTTTACTTTCGATTTAAAATAATTTTTCTTTTTATTACGGATTAACTGAGTTACTTTATTTTTGGCCAGTTTGAAAATTGACCAGTCATTTGCGTTGTTGGAAGCACGTGCTTGTTTTAGAAGTCTGTCTCTGATTTGAATTTCATTTGTTATATCATTTGTAAACCATTTTGGTTGGATCTTTCGTTTAACTCGTTTCGATATTGTTGGAGCGTGTTTGTTAAGGATATTAGTAAAAATGGAATACCACGAATCAACAATGTCATCAGTATCTTCAAACACGAATGCTGAATCTCACGGGGCTTCTGAAAGATCTTTAGCAAACAATTCATTATTGAGGGACTTTAGATTTCGGTATTTGAGTGATGTGTGTTCATGTATTTTAGTGCCTGCTGCACCTTGCTCTCCGGTTTTCTTAAAGCGCCTGAGAGCGAATACTGGGAGATGATCGGACAAGCCAACATTTAGTGTAACAACATTATGCATTCTATCTGGGTGACTTGAGTAGATGTGATCCAAACACGTGTTAGACACTGGTCGGGTGATACACTTGACAAGTTGAGTTAGATTTAGATTCAGAAGTGTTTTTACTAGATCGTGTTTTAAAAAGGAATCTGGATTTAAGTAATCAATATTAAAATCACCCAAGATTACCAGTTCCTTATTTTCCAAATATGCATTCTCGATATTCTTTCCCAAAATTATGTTATATTCTTTTTTGGCAGACGGTGGACGGTAAACACCAGATACTAGCAATGGTCGCTTAGATTTGTGCGGACAAATTTCAATCCATATAGATTCAATATCTTTTGATTCCAGATCCATAATAATGCTTAATAAGCACATTTATATTCGCGTCTAATAACATCATAGCTCTCTTCCTTGTGAAAAATCCGCGGAAATTTACTCAAAAGTTACTTGCTGTCTTTGGAATGATGCAAAAGACCATAATTACGACGAACCTGGAACAGAACTATTCAGAAATAATCGGTTTGTGAGTGGGGTAGGTTTAAACTCATCTCACAACATATTAAACTGCGGAGAAAGACAAATAAATATGCATTGTTTTCGTCTTTTACAAACTTATACTTGAGAACTGTGGCCATTTCCAAGCTAAATTACGTTTACAGTATAAGATTTATAGCACAGTTCATAACGCAGCCAGTAGTCAAATTTCATATGTCTCATATTACACGATGCTCACTAACGAATCTCGGTCTAAAACGTTGATTTATGTTACTATAAATTTTACTTATCTTACATTTTATATACATATGGGTACAAGAAACCAGTTTCCTTAATTACAATCGGTTAACTTTGCAGATATCCCTTTTTAAGTTCGTTTTTGAACGAAGCTCACTACAAATCTGTAAATAAATCTATATCTCATTGGCTATTTTATGACAGAAAGGTGAGAATCGTTGCTACAAAATCATTCGTATCTTAGTCAGTTCGTTACGAAAACTTGTAAAATGGCCCTATCTTGTAAATTATGCTGGACTTTAGATGTCTAGGGTGAATTTGTTTGATATTGTCTGCTATTAAGGCTTTTATGGCGTGTGAGCCCATCAAAATATGGTGAGATTCGTGGTGAGATTCGTTTCTATAAGGATCTCATTCTCACATATACGCGCTTAGTTTACTAACAAGTTGGCTCAGTTGTCAATTTTCTTTAGATAGAGTTCCAATACTGTTACCATGCATGGAATTCAACGAATTGTGACTAAAATATACCACTACAAGCCTTTAAATCTGGTTTTAAATATACGCGATGAAATTCAGCCGGATTTTAGCTATTTCCTAACACACGCATACGCAAGCATTGTATAACACAGTACACGCAAATTATCTGTGTGCAACGAAATTGCTAAAGGACCTAAAAGGTGTGAAGAACTTATGAAAATTGACTGCGTACACAGCTTAATGATGTCTACAAGTCGAATTAAGTTAAATTTAAGAGTAATGGTATTACTTCAACAGACAATCTTTGACAATATAGATTGGGACAATCTAGTTTTCACACGCATTCGGTTGTAATATACCATTTGCTGATACATATTTTCCACACTCCCTCCCCCCATCCGTTTCAATGTTGGCGCCGCGCATCCAGACATCAGATTTTTGTTGGCCCAACATTGAACTGGGGGAACGGGGGGCGCTATTCCTTTCAAAATATATGAAATTACAGCAGCTGTCCCATAGTTTCTGGCAAAGATTGTAGATGAGAATGGACCATTTGCATTATAGACTAAACTTTGATCTAGACAAAAATTTCATAACAGCTTGAAAAAGCATCACAAAATTAGTAATATTCCAAAGTTTCGTTGCGAAATGTTGTAAAATGTGGATAATATAGCCTTGCGAAATTTGCAATTTTCAGTCATTTTGTATTACAAACGGGAAATTGATGCCCCAACACCCGATTGGGCTGTCAATTTCCCGTGCGTAATACAAAATGACCGAAAAACGGCAAACTTCGCATGGCTATATTATCCGTATTCTACAACATTTCGCAACAAAACTTTGGAATATTACTAATTTTGTGATGCTCTTTCAAGCTGTGATGAAATTTTTATCTAGATCAAAATTTAGTCTACAATGCAAATGGTCCATTGATGATGGCAGTCACTCATTGGTATACGGGGGGCATTTCAAGCTATTGATTAATCAAATAAGTTCAAAACTAATGAACATATATACTTTTTCACTTGGAAAATGGTTGGCGCACTTGCCTTTCACCTCTGAGGCCGCAGGTTCAAGCCTCAGTGAGAACTTTCTCAATGCGACTCGAACCCAGTCCTCATGTGAAAAGAGTATCGCCCGTTTTCTAAAAGCTCACTCACACTCACACTCAATGAGTGGAGGTTCAATCTGAGCTTCTCTCGAGTGTCAATGTTGTTTTTGAATAGCTGGAGGGTGAGCAGTCACATAGTAAGGTACGAAACTAGCCCTCCAGCTATTCAAAAACAGCAATGACACTCGAGACAATCTCAGATTGAACCTCCACTCATTGAGTGTGAGTGAGCTTTTAGAATACGGGCGTAAGAGTCAACGCTCTGCCGAAAGTCGTGGGTTTTCCCCGGGTACTCGGATTTCCTCCCACAGGGAAAGTTGACAGGGTGGGTTAGGTAAAAAGGGCCCACAGCAACCGGCATATGCTGTTGTGGTGACCCTGCCCCAGTTGGCAAAGCTAAATAAATAAATAAAATAAGTAAATAAATATTTTTTTTAAATTAATATTTGATAAGTTTCTAAAGCGGCAGACAAACTTAAAAAGTATATTATTTACTATTATTGCTTTATCTGTAAAATGATGCTAAAATGAAAAGATTTTAGATGGTAAGTACGCCCAAAGAAAAAATGATGTCTGAAATTCAGTAAGTATCTCTTACAGTAATGAAATAATGATGACAATCTCGTTCCTGGCCAAGCCTGCGATCCTCGGGAAGGAACTTCGGGCTCTGGGATAATCCGTTTCAGAGACAAATCTGATTGGCCGTTGATATGGTCATATGGAATGGGCAGTTTAGTCTTAGCCAGGATTCTTGGCTTCCGGAAACGAATTATTCCAGAGCCTCACGTTCCTTCCCGAGGATCGGGGAACGAGATTGTAATGGCTATCTTTAAAACAGGGAATGGGGAATCGGGGAATCCGGGAATCGGGGAATCCGGGAATCGGGGAATCTGGAATCGCCGGATTCCCCAATTCCCGGATTCCCCATTCCCTGTTTTAAAGATAGCCAGATTGTAATGATCGCACGGGAAGGCCTAGGACTAGGCTATGTTCCAACTATGTTTTAACTTAAATAGTAGGTTTTTCAAAACAATGAAAGGACAAGGGAACGGAATCGTGGCAGGATGACACTATTGTTAAGCCATAAGTGTTTGTTTAAAGTTGCATAGTAACAACTAATGATCAAGCATGAAGCATTGACCGGCAAAATTATAGGTATGGATTGGGGCCGGTATGATATCGCACGTACCCGCTTTCGTAAGGTTGAAAAAAGAGACTGATTGGGCTTTTTCAAGTATTGAAAAAATGGTAGCGCATGCACGCACGAGTTCACTTTTTTATAGATAAAATGGGTATACTTCCTGCTTTCAAATCTCGAAGGTGGGGGTGTTCAGTGTCTGTATAATGTACCAATATCACCAACCTCATGTGATTCACAGTAAGCCGGTTCGTGGGCTGTTTCTGAAATACCTGGAAAAGATTAAAACTCTTCAACTTCTGATGGGCAGGCCCTTCCTCAGCTGGTTTATATATAGCTATATTAATTATAATAACCTCTTGACATAGGCAGGCCTTCCGGCTCGAACTCTCCCTCATGTTTTCCGTTCTGCAAGCTTATAGTTATTCTGTTTTAAAGTGAAACTACACAACGTCTGCAACAGCACCAGAATTTAGCTCTTGACTGATATAAAAGGTTGCGTGATCAAGGGTTCATTAATTGCTAGCTACCCAATAGATAAGATTTTAGAGTTTAGACTTCACTCAGTGAGTCAAGATTATAATAGAGCTAGGTTCTGTATATAATATACAGAGCTAGGTTCTGTAAATAAATATACGAGCGGGAATAAGGCGAAAGATACAGAACCTCTGGCAACCAGGGTAATATTATAAGTGATCGGAATGTTCTATTTTCTTTTCATTGTTTTGAAAGTCAATGCTACCTATCTTGCATGGCAGTTTATGTAGAGAGTCTATCGACTCTAACACTAATCCTAACCCTAACTAATAAATATAACACGATAATAATGCAATAGATCAATAGTAATGCCTATAAGGAGGAAATATTGCCCCCAAACCCAAACATTGCTCTATTTAACTGGTCATTATGTCAACACGTTATGACTGATTGCACAATCATGTTGTCACACATCGCGTCGATATTAAAAGTGAAAACAAGAAAAGTGCTGGTATTAAACCTGAATTTCGCAATAAATGGGCAAGACATTTCATTGTATTAAATCTGATTAAACAAGATCAGTATTGCATATGGATTAACAGCATTACGCATTCTGCAATTTTGCAATTTATTTATATGGATAGATCTAAAGAACTCTATACCACCTTCTAAACTGTTCTCCCTAGTTGGTCTACTGTTACTACAGGAAGAAACCTTACCTAAACTCCTAAACTAATTCTGTTTGTACTGGATAGCTCAATCACTGGTTCTAAATTCAGTTTTCATAGAAGCGGAGTATTACCGTCAACAGTGAAGGGAAGGTAAACAAGGGGAAACTACACTAAACTAAATTAATTATTTGCGTAGCAAAGTCTGTCAGTTCTAAACAGTTCTCCCTAAAAATGTCAGTAAGGATCATCCGTGATTAGTTCAGTACTGACAGCAGGGTGAAACGGAGAGCATAGCATTAAACCCGGCGCTATTTCTATCTTTCGAGACGGTCAAACTGGCGCTTCAGTCGCATGTGAGAGGAGCGATTCCCAGAATCAAATACAGAAAACTACACATTTCAGAAATCTAGTATAATTATATTATAGTCAGAAAACTAGCTATATATTTAGGGGATCGCCCCAGACCAACACCCAATCCGGCTGAAAAAGGGCAAGACTTCTTGGACGCCTACAGTGGACTCGTTGGAACGACGTGGGTTGCATCTTAATTAGATTATTATCATCCTTTTGCAGGTCATGCGTTGACAACAAATGTCGAAAGCATGACCCTTGATTGCTTATGACGTGAAATATGACATAGCCCAAAATTTCTCCCCCCCCCCCCCAAAAAAAAATAGCACGAACTTTGAAAGAACCAAAAAGGGACTTGTTCCGATGTAAATTTAGCCTTGAATCATTGCGCATTACTCCTCGCGCGCTATGCTAATATTTGTAACACTAGGAGTTTCACCAATACCGCCCTACGGGGAAAACCGGAAACGCGTTGACAAAATTTGACGCGCGCTTACGGATTGAATTACTCCCGTCGAAAGACAGGCAAAATCTAAACAGTTTATGCTCATTTATAAGGTATATATAGCGTCGGTATCTGGCGGACACTTCGGCGTGTAATTTTGTGTAAAATTGTGGATTTATTGAGCCGAGGAACGGCAAAGACGTGTTTGTTGGTTGTATATTATTAGCGCTGTCATACGGAGTATTATGAATATTAAATATTTAGTAATGTTATGAATCACAGCTTAATTTGGTCCATGATGGTTGTTTATATGTGAGTGTTAATATACAACAGAAATTATGGCGAAAGAGTTAATAGAGCCTTTGACCGAATTACAAAAGGCTGAAGGTATGTCGTGTGTACAATGCTTTTTGTCCAATCTCTGCAGGCTGTCCGTTTTTAATTTGCCCCAAATTGTCCGTGTCGCCAATTTTGTATAGAAATGGTAATTTGTAGTTATGTATCACGTCTGTGAGCCGTATATGAGTATACCCAACATAATATTAATGCCAAACATGCTTGATTTGCTAGCGGGGTATATTCGCACTGACTAAAATGGTTTATGCCCAATATATGAGTTCCTATTTTGTAACCTATGACTGAAATTTTATGTAACTGATGAACATACTAATATCGATTTATAGTTGCTGATGAAATTTTACCGGGTATTTTGGTATTTTTGGATAAACTTTTATCAAAAGAGCATGTTTCAGACGAAGTAGAAGCAGTTAGACAAGGTTATGTGGCAATTTTACAATGTACTAGCACGGAATCCCCAGAAGTCGTTCGAAAGAATGTTGACTCGCTCGCCGAATCGTCTTTGAAATACGAAACAGGCGCTAAATCTGGCAAGTTTGGACGCATTCGAGAGAAACGTCTGATAAACATTAGACAGGTACGTTGTAAAAAAACCTTTTAGTTACGTTTAACAGATAGCTGAGATGTTTCAAACTGTTAAAGGCTTGACACTTCTGGTTTGGAATTCATTTTAATGTCGAGATGTATTCTAATTTAGTTGCGAATTTCATGCTATAGTCACAAAGCACAATGAGAGGTCATTCGGTCAAGGATTGGTGCCAAACGTTTTAAGTGTGTCGTGTATGTTTATACGAACGGGAAAAAAGGAGCGCAGATTTGTTAATTTAATTGTCATAATGCTCTTAAAATTGTGTTTATTTTGTCATGGCCTTCCCGGTGTAAATTATGTCTGTACTGGGGGTTAGTTCCGCGTTGTCCATTTATCTCAAATAAAACTACAAAATGATAAGTTTGCCTTTAATATTGTGTATAAGGTGAGTTCCATACAAATTTATTAAACCTCAGTTCAGTATAAATTGTCCTCTCCCAGCGGCCCTATGAATTCCACAAATTTTTTAATCATTCGCCACTCTTGGTGGTCAGACATCATATTGTCAAGTACATATAAATGGCGATTCCCTTGCTATCGCGTAAAAAACTGCGATACTTCCAATCGATAAACTAACGTAATATCGAGCAACATTTAGTTGAACAAACCATGAATATATAAATTCGGTTAAAATTAACCTCATTGCTCTGACTTTAATAAATTTTAAACAATTTATGCAATATTAAATTGTATGCTTCGA